CTGAAAAACACAAGGGGTCTCACTGGGTCAATAAAGCCAGAGGCACAGGCAAGAGAAAATGCGATACAACGGTTTCAAGCTGCTAATCCCTCCCCACTGCTGTGTTTATGTTCTGCTCTGGACCAGCCCTTGTCAAATGGTGATAGAGCTGAAATGTGTCTTTGGAGCTTTATGTCTTCCCTTTTATCGCGCCCCCCCCCCCCTTTTTTTTTGTTAATCCTCACCTGAGGATATTTTTTTTCACTGATTTTCAGAAAGAGAGGGGTAGAGAGAGAGAGAAAAAAAAACATTGACGTGAGAGAGAGACATTGATTGGTTGCCCCTGCACATGCCCTGGGCTGGGAGCCTGCCACCAAGGCATGTGGCTTTGAGGAGATTCGAACTTCAATTAATGATAGAGCATCAGTCTGCGGGCCGATGCTCTCTCCACTGAGCAAAACTGGCTATCCCCTTTCCTCATCCCAATCAATTTCAGGCCGTAAGAGTAACTATTTTGAGTCCTACACTCTCCAGGGCTGTCTTCATTTTAAGTTGAGTTATGCCTTTTGTATAAATGGGATTTACCTGGAATCCAGGGATTAAGCTAAGTTTCTTTGAACTGATGGCCAGAATGTTCTAGTTCTCATGTCACAAGTGAGATGGCCCTTTATAGTTTTCTTGCTTTAAGTGGAAGGCTCAAATCCAGCTCCCTGCTTCTGACTGATGTGGGGCTTACTTTTTTCATGCTTAATCCCTGCCCAAGCCCTAAATATCAACCTCAACATCAACCACAGTCATTTACACAATTTACTGTTTTGTTGAAAGGAGATACATAAGCTGCTATAAGGTTACAGCAGAAATACTTTCAAAAGCATATCATTAAGAGTCTAATATATGCAGTTTTTTTTATTGATACCATTATGATATAGTAATTTATTGCCTTCCTTAAGCATATTTGGTTACCCCTAATATTCCCTGAATTTTTTAGATAAGAGCATTCTTAGGTAGAGTTGGTGGGATAGGAATATCAAGAGAAACACAAGTTAATATTTTTTCTTTTGTGTTTCAAAGCTGAGGTTGAAACTTAAACAGTAGATCTGGAGGACTATTGTTAAGCCTGATTGGTTTTTCCATAGAGGTTAAAATTTCCTGACCTAGGATGAGTTAGATAGAAAATTCAGCATGAGTAGCCATTGTGGGGTCCTCAGAGGTGCCATGAGTGCTACCTCTTTCTTCTGAGCTGTGCTCTTGAAGTGGGAAGAGTTCTGTTGGAATGTCCAACTTCAGAGAAGTCTGGGACTCATCCTTGGACAAGGAATGAAACTGCAAATCAAAGTGGCTCTGTTAGGTGTCTTAACTGGGGAGCTTGAGGTAGCCCCACTCTGCATTTTTGTGACCCTCCATATGGAGTAAGGAACAGCCACAATCTTTTTTTGGGGGCTGATTGGTGAGGACAAACAGTGAGAACCATCTGGCCCAGAAAGATCTGTGGTCAGGACAATGAAGATGCAGGGTTTAGGCATGATGTGCATGAACTGACTTTCCAGTAGGTATGGAATGCATGCAACAGGACAGTCCAGGATGGATCGAGGATGAGATGCAAGCATCAGGACCACTGATCCCTCTCCTTAATGCTACATTCATCCTTGAAGCTGGAGGGAAATTCTGGAGACAGGAGGGCGGGGGGGGGGGGGGGGGGGGGGGGGGAGGAACATGAGTTGACCAAAGTAAAAAAAAAAAATTTTTTTTAAACCATCAGTGCAATTATCCTGGCAGATAGGAATTAAATTCAATTAGAGAAAAATCAAGTTGAAATTTTCCACACCTTGTGTTTGTTTCGCAAGCTCTCCACTCTGGCTCACCTTTCTGGCTCATAATCATTACCCGGGACAAGGCCTTTTGGTGCTCATTTCTAGAGCAAATGGTTTGCCTTGAGGTGGGTGATTGCTCACAAGAGGAATTAGGGAGTTCTGACAATGGAACTGGTAGTTGAGAATCCAAGGAACTCTGAAGTATTTTTACAGCAAGAAGAAAGACTGTGTGTTGTCTGGGGTCAATTTCACTTCTGAATGTTGAAATGGATGATAACTTAGGAATTCTAAGTATTTTGCTGTCTTTCCAATGATTTTGATGATGAATGCTCTCCTCCTTACATAACAATCTACACTGAGTATTAAGGAAAGCAAACAGTTGTGATTATTTGGCTGTATGTTTTCTGGATGAAAGTCAAATGGTTTATAGCAAGAAAGAACAGTAAGCAAGATTTCACAAAGGCTGTTTATAGTTTTATGGCTCAAACCAAATCATTTATTGATTTGAATTATGGCGTTTCCTTTCATGAAATTGTTTGTGTTCAGGAATAAATTAATTTAATTAATTATCCTGGAATTTTCTAAGATAGCCTTTAACACTGACATTTGGGGGAAAGTTGTGTCTCTGTAAACTTAATGTCCTGGTCATTTTAGGTAGAATGACTTGTTTTGGTTTGAACTCTTTTATAACTTCTTCCTAAAGTGCATTAGTCTATTTTATTGCTTTAGAAAAGACTAGATGTTTAGTGAATATAATCTAATCATTGATGATTCAGGATCAGGATGATTCAGTCGTTATTAAGAATTATCACTGTACCATTACGCAGAAAGTGAGAAGATTGGGCTGAATCCAAACTGACCTCAGGGCTTCCCTGGGAATTATTTCTAAACTTCATTTGTATGCATAGCCAGAGAAAAAGGCTAGAGTAACTCTTAGCAAGAAAGTTTAATCATTACGGGTTTGGCCATTGCTTGCACTATGCACTTTTCCATCAGATGGCCTGCCTGCACACTCAGCCAGGAAAGGACAAAGGATTTATTTATTTCCACAAAATCTTTAGGCTTGTCATATCTGAGGCACTGCATTGTGTGGTCAACAAAGGTACAGTTCCACACATGGCACATGCCGGATGCTAGGGCTGGTTTCACTGTGAAAGCTGGTGGTGGACCCAGTGGACACCATGCCCACTCCCTCCATTGCTTTAACATTCTCAGAAAATCTTTTGAGATCCTGCTCTGATACTTCCACCCTTATTGCCAAATCTGGAATTTAATGACTTAATTTAAGTGCAAGTCATGACTCCCTATGGTTGTCTTTCACAAAAATGCCTATAGGCCAAATTTGGCCCAACACCTGCTTTTGTAAATAAAGTTTTATTGGAACATACTAGTAGTCATGACTCCCTACAGATTGCATATGGTTGCTTTCACGCTACAACAGCAGACAAACAGTTGTGACAGAAGTCCATGAATCTCAAAAAATTTACCATCTTTCATAAAAAGAATTTGCAAACCCTTGAATGACATCCTAGGCCTCATAGGCTCCCAGGCTGCCCTCTGACAGCCTGGGGCCTCCACTATAGTGTCTCAGCAAGTCTTTTCTCTGAGACATGCTTGTTCCTCATCCCCTTTTTTCTAGGAGGCTCTAGTTGCTGAAAAGAAATCTGATATAAACCTTCCGTACATTGCTAGGAGTTTGAAGTTTACCTGTCCCAGGTTCAGACTAATCACAGGTGGTTATTAGGCATTCCTGTGGTTAGAAACTGGGCTCAGACAGCTGGAGGCTCAGAGAGGCAGTAGAGAGCCCCACCATTGTTTCCCCAACCTCTGCCCACTGGTTGAAGACTGTTTCTAAGGGCACCAACCTTCTAACTCTCTGTCTTTCCATCTACTGTGTCCTATCTGTTCCCAAGGTCACCTATCACCCTTGGCAGAGAGAGGCAGGTGTTTGCAGTGAATAGCTCTGGGTATTCAGAGGTAATCATCCAGGTGATATGGGTCCACGTGGGGTCTGCTACACAATTTCTCACCAACTTTCATTTTTATAAATATTTTTATTGACTTTAGAGATGGAGAGAGAGAGAGAGAGAGAGAGAGAGAGAGAGAGAGAGAGAGAGAGAGAGAGAGAGAAACAGCAATGAGAATCATTGATCGGCTGCCTCTCTCCCAACTGGGGATTGAGCCCACAATCTGGGCATGCACCCCTGACTAGAATCAAACCTGGGACTCTTCAGTCCTCAGGCTGATGCTCCATCCACCAAGCCAAACCATCTAGGGCCTAACTTTCATTTTTAAATGTGGTTCTGCATCAGCATTTTGGCAACCCCAGGCTCTTATAATAGGTCACTATATTTAAAGTGGGGGTGCACTGCTTTGGCTGAGAGATATATTTAGAGCCCCAAGGATCAAGCCCTATAGTCTGACTATAAAATTAGGAAAGTGGTATCTGCAAGCAAGGGTGCTACATGCAGTCATGTAGGTTGTGTTTTGCATAAAGGGGCAAGCCCAAGGGGAGCCACTGGGGGCTGCATGGATTTGCCAAACCATGTGCCCTAAGAGGGCCTTTATTTTTATTTATTTTAAAATTAAAATTTATTTTTCAATTATAGTTGATATACAATATTGTATTAGTTTTAGGTGTACCTGGAGTGGCGCTTTAAATAATAACTGGTCAGCCCAGAGGGGTTACCCTTTCTCATTTGTCTGCCCAGGAGGGGGTACATATTCTAATTTGTTTGCTCAGAAGAAGGGGTGCTGTTTTGCAACTTACCCACCGATAGAAGACACTTTTTAAAAATTTCATACAAATGCACTATGGAAGTACTAGCATGCCTGTGAGCCATGGCAAGAAATAGTTTTTTCTAGGTATTTATATATATATAAGACCCTAATATGCAAGTAGAATGAACGGCAGAACATCGAACAACTGGTCACTATGAAGCCCACTGACCACCAGGGGGCGCGTGCAGAACATGGCAGGTATCAGTTGCAGTGGGATGGTGGAGCAGGTGAGCGGGGCACCAGGCCAAGATGGGGCACTGGTCACTGCCATCAGAGTGATCCTCTGGTGGTTACTGAAAATTCTTTGCTCCCATGCACCACAGTCCTGCCAGCCGCTTGCACTTGCTGCTGGCACAAACCCCACTTGCACCAGCTGCCAGCCCCAATTGCCCCTGAGGGCTTTTCCACCTCCCCCTGCTTCTGAGGGGC